CTGCAGATAATACAGCATGGGAATGAAACTTAATAAACATCAGCATAATATACAGATATAATTTGACAAAATAAAAAAAAATCTGTGTTTCCGGTAACCCCTACCTACCAATTTTGTTTGGTGTGTGTGTGGGGGGGGGGGGTAATTTATACAATCAAATCAAATTACGAGATTATTTTTCACATCTGATGTTAAACCATGAAAATGTTCTCACAAAAGAGCACTATCCATTGAAAATATAAAATAATATAAAAATGCCTGTCCACCTACCTACCCACATTTGTTTTATTTTACTTTAGTGACATATGGTTGCACTTGAGCGCAACTGAATTGGGAGACTGTTATATTTCCTTTTAAAATGGTCAAATCTCTTGATGATTCAAGTATGAGAGTAGTATGTGAGTGTGGCTAAATGCAGTCACAATTCTATATCGTCATCACTCTAAACAGTAAACTACTGTACATGCATTTATGACTGGGGTTGAATGACATAGATCATAATCATTATTATCAATTAGCGTTATTATTAATATTATCGATAAATAAGCATTTACAACGTATGTGTGGTGATAATCCCGATATGCATTCAGGTAAAAATCGAAACAATAGCGTAAACCACTTACGTTAACAACATTTTCACGAAAAATGTTCACACCAGTGATAGGATGAGACATTTTGGACTTTACTTCCGGAACATGTATACTTCCGGAACATGTTATTCAGGTATTATATCATTGTGCACGTGCATAAAATAATCCGCCGGTTAATGCAAGTAATTAGAGATGTTATACTAATGTTATAAAAGGAAACATTTAATGCACAGAAGCTTCAATAAATTAATATCAGAAAAAAAATTATTTCTGTGGCATTACGCGCTTTCTAGTTCATGTCGGCGGAATAATTTCATATTATAACCGAAGAGAATAGGCATGCTGGGGTCATGGGTCAAAAAGATGGTGGCGAGCATGGAGCACGAGGATAGCATTTCGGCTGTTGCATATTTGCATTTTTTGGTGGAACTTTGATGACTGATAAACATTATTGAATATGGGCAGGCCGAACAGGGATCATAGACTAACATTCATTCAAAATTTTTCGTGCGGCGGGATTGCAGGCATCACAAGTCGAACTTTAACTTCACCGCTTGACGTGGTCAAAATTGTGTCACAAGTCGGAACGAATGATTCTCGCCAAGGATTTCTTCGAACGTTCATTAATTTGTACCAAAAGCAAGGACTTCGTGCTTTTTGGAAAGGGAACCTTTTGGGTTGCCTGAGACTTTTTCCATTTTCTGCGGTTCAGATACATCCTTCAACTTCTTCAGAGTTCAATTTCAGGACGAATATGGCCGATGTTCGGGGTCATATGCTTTGCTGGCTGGAACTTTAGGCGGCGCTGTTGCCACAATCGTGACCTACCCGACTGACATGATAAAAACTAGGCTGATAGTGCAACACACAAATACGCCTAGGTACAGGGGTATTGTTCATGCATTCAAGTTAGTGCTTCAAGAAGAAGGACTTTTAGCATTTTACAGAGGCCTATTCGCTTCACTCGTTGGTGAGTTTGACCCACAATGTTTTGAGTGGGCAAAATGGTGATTGTACTATTGGTGCATGGGGTGAGTTTGTTGCTCCAGGTTCCTTATTTTGACATTCTGGTGTTATCCTGACATTTTACGTAACATTTTCATGATGTGGTGGGGCAAAAGTTACTGCCTCCATGTTTAAAAAAAAA